GCCGAGATTTGCACAGCCGAGCTCGGTAGTAAAAATTAAGTGTGTGTATCTGGCGCGTAGAATATAGCACAAAAATCATGGCTACTATGTATCACTGCAGAATACAGTGTTGCCCTCAAAACTACTGCTTAATCATGCCAGTCTCTTAAACAATTAATAGCTATTTAAATTGACGTTTGGTAGAAAATTGATCTTCTGCAAAGTTGTAGCTTAGAAAATTTCCCATAAGAACTAAGAAGTCAGTCAACAAAAAGTTTGGTTTTTCCATAGCAATTTCCATGTAAACTTTAAATGGTTTGTGCCATGTGAGTTTCTTACCAAATGAGTTACAATTTGAGTAGGCTAATTAGGACCCGAATTGGAACCGCTTGAGCACTGTGGAGCGAATATTTCAAATTTTCCATCAGTATAAAGGGTGATACGGTCAAAATTTGGTCAATATCAACTTGACGTATTTCTTTCAATTTTGCATTTAAAAAACCTTAACACCCCTCATTTTGAAGGTGTGTGTGTGTGTAGAATGTTGCTCCTATTTTGATTTTGGAATTCACTCTTCAGTTGTCAAAATGCCGTCCAAGTAAGAAGAGCAGCGTATCAAAATTTTGCTCGCGCATCGCGAAAATCCGAGCTACTCGCACGCAAAGTTGGCAAAATCGCTAAAAGTTGCCAAATCAACCGTTACAAATGTAATTAAAGTGTTTGGGGAACGTTTGTCGACAGCCAAGAAGTCTGGATCGGGGGGAAATCGAAAACCGGAAGCCGCTGAGACGACAAATAGAGTTGCCGGTAGTTTCAAGCGAAACCCTAACCTCTCTCTCCGAGATGCCGCAAATAAGCTGGGTGTATCGTCTACAACCGTGCATCGAGCCAAAAAACGAGCCGGACTATCGACTTACAAGAAGGTAGTGACTCCAAATCGCGATGATAAACAAAATACGACGGCCAAAGCGCGATCCCGGAGCCTGTACACGACGATGCTGACGAAGTTTGACTGCGTGGTAATGGACGACGAATCCTACGTCAAAGCCGACTACAAGCAGCTTCCGGGACAGGAGTTTTATACGGCAAAAGGAAGGGGAAAGGTAGCAGATGTTTTCAAGCACATGAAACTGTCAAAGTTCGCAAAGAAATATCTGGTTTGGCAAGCCATCTGTACCTGTGGCTTGAAAAGCAGCATTTTCATAGCTTCCGGGACTGTCAACCAAGAAATTTACGTGAAAGAGTGTTTGAATAAACGTCTGCTGCCTTTCCTGAAGAAACACGGTTGTTCCGTACTGTTTTGGCCGGATTTGGCATCTTGCCATTACGGTAAAAAGGCCATGGAGTGGTACGCCGCCAACAACGTGCAGGTGGTTCCCAAGGACAAGAACCCTCCCAACACGCCAGAGCTCCGCCCAATTGAGAAATACTGGGCTATTGTCAAGCGGAACCTAAAGAAGACCAAAAAAACTGCTAAGGGCGAGCAGCAGTTCAAGGCAAACTGGCTTTCTGCGGCGAAGAAGGTGGACAAGGTGGCTGTACAAAATCTGATGGCAGGGGTCAAGCGTAAGGCCCGGCAATTCGGATTTGGAAAAGCGGAAGCCTAACCGAATATTTTTCCTGAATGTTATACTAATTGAACTTGAAAAAGAAATTTAATTTGATTTTTTAAATAAACGATTTCACCGATTTACACGCGTTTTCCCTTGACCAAATTTTGACCGTATCACCCTTTAATGGCCATCCTAACGAAACTCGAATAAAATTTCACTATTTTGGAGAGAATATAATTATTTCTATAAGATTACAGAAGCTTCAAAGATTGGCCTATAATCCTATGCTTGAAGAACAATTATACAAAATTGTTAAATTTAAAAAAAAATATGTCCAAACGAAACTTTGAAGTTTCGGGACATTTTTTCTATTCGAGGGGCAAGATGGTTAGTAGGGTGGATCAACTATACTATATGTTCCCAACTACTCATTTCAAATTTGACCGAGTTTGGTTATAATCTCGATTTGCGGTAGAATTTAATTTTTGTATGGGAACATGTATGGGAAATGGAACGGTCCTATTTATTTGCTTACCAGAAATCCAAATATTGCTCAAATTTAACCAAATCTCGGACATAGATTGAGAATACAAACTAAATAACTTTATCGGAGATTTGTTTGAATAACAGAAAAGTTCATTATACTTTAGTTTTTTTTTTTGCAGTGTTGGGGCACTACTATAAATCACCCAAGTAACATTGCAAGTTTTATAGAGGTTTTAAAGCGTTCTACAAGTCTAAAACACGGTCTACAGAACCCTTGTTACTCGGGCACCCATTAATCGCTGTGCATTCTTGCATGTTTTGCAGAACACAGCATGAGAATATCCTAAACAAGGGATTTACATACATTTTTAACGATTTAATTGTCAAAAGATCTGGATTGGAGACGATGTTTATCTTGCCCAATATGGCCATCCCACCCCACTTCCCCCTTCAACATTATTTATTTAATTCATTATTTGCAGAGCAATGCATTAGGTCCTAAGTAACATTGGTGGATTCTCTTCTTCGACTTTCTCTTTCGTTAATAACTTGGGTACAGAACCGTTTCTTGTCGTGTTTGTCGCATTAGAAGCTAGATAATAGCTTCTTTCATCGATTTGTCTGCTGAAAATAGCAGGTAATGTCTAACCACGGCCGTGAGGATGCAAAGAGAAAATCGACAAGAGAATCTAGTGTTGTTACTTAGGACCTAATGCATTGTTCAGCTTTATTTGAGCTAAAATTTCGCCATTTTGAATCTCGTAGAAAACTTTAAAATGGTGCATTAGATATTTTCCTACAAATCATAACTCGAAAACGTCACTTCCTATCGAAATGGCATACGAAACAAAGTTGTAGGCAAACATAATTTTAATCGCGATCGCGGCATCTGTTTTCTCCCTCAATACGAATAATGTCTCAACAAAAACAAAAGCTTTACCCATCACAAATATCGAACTGCTCTAAACGAACAAAAGATCACGCACGATCGAGTTCATCCCGTCAGGTAGCAAAAGGGAATCAATTACAATTCCGAAACATAAGGAACTCAAAGCCTCGAGCACAAAATTGTAGGAACTAGCCTTTCAAAACTCCAGAAACTCTTGAATTCAAAGGATAACAATTGCGTAATTTTTCGCACTCATGGTCTATTTTGGAAACATGGGTTGCATATGCACTTTACACCAAAGGGTATTCAACTCTGCATACCTTAATATGTGCCAAGAGTTTTGGCAGTGCCGATCATTCCGAAGTAGGCCAAACTGTATCAATCAAGGTGTCAATATCCCATGAGTTTGGCAACCCTGAAGTTAAACTTTTGTGATTGTGTTTACATTTTAAATTTATCTAATTCATGACCATGGTTCATGGCAAATATTAAGCTTCATTCTCCCATTAGAATGAGCGCGGATTGGGCAGTGGAAGAGGAACTGGAAGCAATACAACCTATACGACCCGTCTACAAGAAACGGACGGTGGACGAAATTTTCACCAGCTGGCAGTAAAATGCTCCCCGAAAAAATCAAACCCAGAACTCGAACGGACGAAAGTTCACTGCCACCCAAGAAACAACATCCTCGAAACAGTTCTGATCGACTCAAAACTACGCAACCTTGAAGACATCACCCAAGTCTATCGTATCGCAGATTGTGATGTCTCCTACCATCACCCAATTACACACGTTCAAGCCTATCAAGTTCACGATCCTTTGCAGATGTGATACCTTCCACAAGGTACCACCAATCAAAACCAATGGCCAATGTACCACCAGTGAAAACCATCTACTGTCCCACCACTGCATATCTGTCATGCCTCGGAAATGGTGCTCGATCCAGATAAACTTCGCATCTGCAGTTCAACTGTACCCTGTGGTTGTTGTTGTCGATCTGCACGGCCATGGGATCTTGCCGAACAGCAAATTACTTAGTGTAGTCATGCGTCATGCGCTTTCGAGATTGAGCAAGGCCTTGTAATTGATTGATTGATAGGCCACCCATCGCACCGGATCTTTTTGAGACGAACTAGTGCAACAGATGAGTGCAGATTGGATCATTGATGATGAGGTGTACTCACGGAATAGAATGTAATTGCATTTTTGATTGCATTGATCTGTTCCTATAAATTGTATACTGTTTCGCTAAGGCAGTCGTCTAGGCCTGATGGAATATTTGGGGTTAATACGACCCCAATAAGTACTGGGACTTGTATGGACATCCCTAGAAAGTCCTGTGGATTTCCCATCGAAGTCCATACCAATTGAAACCTAAGAGGAAGAGATGACAATTGGCTTCTCACTCTTTAATTTATATCTCTATCTCTATCTTTATCCATGTCTATCTCTATCTTACACACATCAAATCAGCCAATCACGAGCTGGTTCACGTTTGACAGAAAAGTGGTTCATTTTTGCCCCCGTATTGTCACCTCTTCTCTTAGATTGAAACCAATGACAATGACAATGACCAATAGGATACCTAAGGAAAACCGTACACTGATAAAATTTCAAAGATTGTTTTTATGTGTCCCACACATGAATTTTTGCAATGTGATCAACATATGATATCTATGTGTCGGACACATACTTAATATGTGTACACATACTATTCATTTGACAGAATTCTGCTTCAAGGGGGTGCTAAAGAGCATGCAAATATTTTATTCAAAGACTGTTGGAAGGTGGACAGATCATTCCAGAATTCTGCCCCTAGATAGCGCTAGTAAGCATGCAAATATTCAGAACTGTTGCCTCTCCAGATCCTGATTATATAGACGGGTAATATTTTCGGCAAAGTTGATCAGGTGGTCTATGGCTGAAGGGAAGTGGACTTATAAAATCTGAATTCTGCCGCTAGATGACGGTAGTGAGCATCTCACATGCGCATATTCTGTATTGCTGTATCTGATTCAGATTATATAGTCCGGTGATATCTTCGGCAAAGTTGATTAGGTGGTCAAGGGCTGCTGGGTAGTTGAAAGATCAATTCAGAACTCTGCGCTAGTGAGCATCCCACACGCAAATATTCTGTTTTGCTGTATCTCAAGATCCTGATTATTTAGACCGGTGATGTCTTCGGAAAACTCGATTCTTGTTTTATTGGCATCTTCGAATTTTTTCTCTTTTCCAAATCCTTTTTTTTTATACCATTGTAGCCACCTGTCACTAGTAGCCACAGATGGCACATTCTCCTGAATACGACGTTTCTGTTGGTTTGGATCAGTGGGTGCAACTCGTGGCCACACTAGTACATCGTCAAATGGATCCTTTGAGTTTGAACTGGATAGGATAGGGTTTAGAGAATCTGTTTCTGAATTTGAGTATGAGAAAAAGTGTAAGCATACAGATCATACAAGCTTACGACAAGCCCCTTATCCCAACTCAAATGTCTGAATAGTGTTGTTAAAAAAATATAAGAGAGGTAAATGTACGACTATATTAAAATAATCTCTTACCATTGTTTACTTCACGAACTGCTTCTGGTAATATAAGCATGTGCCATTATCGTTCACAACAAATTTCAGGGTAACACTTTGAACGGTTCGGCAAAAAAATAGTCCTTCGGCGTTGTCCTTTATTAACTTTCATAAATAGGACAAAGCGAGCTCTTCGAGTGGCCCATATCAAAAATCTTTCTGACTGATGTTCAAAGATCTCGACAGCTCAATCCCAGTTGAAGTGAAGTTGATAGTCATGTTCAACAGTTTGACTTGATGCATTGTCAGTTGTTTCATCCACTCATACGCACTCAGTAGGATTTTCTAGTGTTTTAAAAGCGTTTGTAGGCAAGGAACTGAAATCGATCATATTGACGTCCCAAGGGCAGAGTCCACAATTGTTAATGTCGTTTTCAAACAACCTTTTGAATTTGTGAGCCGTTTTCAGAAGCTTGGCAAAGTTTGATTTTGTGACTCTAGCAGAATTACCACCGACAAACCGACATGACACTTAATTCTGAGTTATGCCCGAAAATCGTAAACGGGCGATTTAAATGTGCAGTGATCCGAAATGTCAAAACCGTAGGATTTTTTGATCTAGAGAAAAATAATTTGTCCAGAATAGATCAGACACGAACCAATTCATAACTTTTGCATGCGGTTTCATGGCTTAGCTAAATATTTTCTGCGAACATGGAGCCAGATGTCAGTAGTGTGCTTTAGTCAGATTTTTTTTTTTACTATGGTCATTCATGTCGGTTTGTCGGTGGAATTACTACATAGGTAAAATTGCCTGAGAACCTTGCACCAACTGTTTTTGAATGGACCAAAGAAAAGTCGGTCTAGTGGTTGGAGAATTCTCGTGGAACTAGGGTAAAGGGAAATCAGGATTATCTGATTTTGAGTGCAAAACTCAGCCAGCTCCATAATTACATGGCGCTTTTGTGGCCATCCACAAAACGACTGCAGGGAACTCAGTTTCAGTCTCAATCAGCCATTTGACAAGATCATTTGCGACATACTCATTAAAGGTGTTAGCTGTTTGTCATCCTTCATCTGACACACCTACTGACCAACCTTTTGGAATGCTTTCCAAAATTTCTCGACTGATTCTTTTTCCCTGGTGGAGTTTATTCACCATCAGCGTTACTTCCGAAAAGAGCCGTGAAACTCTCTTTATCGGAGTTATTATTCACGATACGGGAATTCTCAGCATCACGATCGCAAAGAGCTTTGAACGGTTTTGGAACTAGCTGGAATCCTGATTCATCAAAATTCAACATTCGTTTTGAGTTATCGAAAATTTCCGCAAAACCAAATACGAATTAGCTCCTGATCTTGAGAGGTTCGTAGTAAATTTATGTTTAATCTAAGGGTGTCTTTGCAAGAAACGGTGCGGCCAAATTTTTACCTGAAATAATCATGATAAATTTATTTTGATTAAAATTCATGAAAACTAATGAACAGTTTCAAATTGCATTAGCTCACTTGGAAATGAAGTTGGTAAATTGCGAGTTGGTCCGATTTTATCGGCGTAGTCTTTGGCAGCGCGTGTGAAATCAGTTTCGCTTATGGGGAACCCTGCTTTGGACATGTACACGGCGAATGAGAACGACTCAAATTTGAGTTTAGTTCACTCATAATCGCCAAAAGTGCAGGAACTCAGCGATGAGTAAATTTGCCTCATGTTTTCCCAGGTTTTTCCAGGGAAAAAATCCCGAATTTGAGAAAAGTAAAGATTGGATTCACTCAGTCTATTGGTACTACTCCGAGACTGAATAAAATTTTCGTCAATTTCCTCATTTTCCGGCAGATTTTTTAGGTTTTCCACAGGAAACCATGAGACAAATTTAACTCATCGCTGCGTTCCTGCACTTTTGGCGATTATGAGTGAACTAAACTCAAATTTGAGTCGTTCTCATTCGCCGTGTAAAGTGTCCACCGTTTGAAACGAGCTTCTTCATCTGGCCGCAATAACGTTGAGGGTCCAAGCTTGACGTTCTTCGGAGGAATTTTTAAGTGACGGTGCACTGTAGTAAATAGCACCTCCTACCGCTTAGCTTATTTTCATCAAAAAAGTATTGTCAACTATCAAAATTTAGTTTAACTGTAATAAGTATACCTTTATCGTGGTGCACGAGCCATTTCATGGGTTGAGATTGGTAATTATATCACTTTGTAAGCTTATGAACACGGGACGTACTGTGTTTGAGAAAACCGATGATATTTTGACAGGTTCTCAGCAACAACATTGTACGCTCATGAAAAAATAATTAATTTTGGGTTAAAAATTATGCTTGTTGTCCAAAAGCTAGAAAAATGTTGATATTTTGTCCCAAAAACCAACTCTGCATGGGAAAGATAACCAAATTAGCTCTTTATTATTTTAAAATAGTCTTGATGCATAAAATCCCAATTTTCAACTTGAACGTGAAATCTGTGTTGTTATACGCCAGCAAGACGTGGTGTGTATCAGCGGAGAGCACTCAAAAGCTGCAGGTCTTCATCAACCGATGCCTGCGGTATATAATTAGTGTCTGCCCGAATAGAAATTTACATTAGCCCAACGTTTGATTTTGATGTCTACATCAGCATCAAAATCAAATGTATGCCTGATGTCAAACATTAGGAAACATTATGATTTAGTTGTATTTAAGCAACGTAACATGGTGTATACATCAGAAATTTTGGAACAAAATTTTGCCATTCTAATGTCGGTCTGACGTCAAAAATTTCAATCTATTGACGTTAGAACCAAACGTTTTAAGGATGTTTTCAGATGTACAAAACGTTAGAACTAAACGTTGTTCGGATGTTTTTAAATGTAAACGTTTTCTGATGTTTTCTAATGTAGATGTTTCCTGATGTTAGAAACAAACGTTTTTGGATGTTTTCAGATGTAAAAAACGTTAGAACTAAACGTTTTTCGGATGTTTTTATATGTAAACGTTTTCTGATGTTTTCTAATGTAGAGGTTTCCTGATGTTAGAATCAAACGTTTTTCGGTTGTTTTCGGATGTAAAAAACGTTAGAACTAAACGTTGTTCGGATGTTTTTATATGTAAATGTATTCTGATGTTTTCTAACGTAGATGCCTCCCGATGCTGGAACCAAACTTTTTTTGGATGTTTTCGGATGTACACAACGTTAGAACTAAACGTTGTTCGGATGTTTTCAATTGTACTTCGTGTTTGATGTTCTCTGATGTTTTCAGATGTATAAAACGTTTAAAGTAAACGTTGTTTGAATGTTTTCAAATGTAGTTGTTTACTAATGTTTTTAGATATACAAAACACTCGAATCTTACTTTTCAAATGCTTTCAATTATATTTACAACACATTAGAACTAGAAACATGATCGTGTAAACACTACACACGATTGTTGTTAGATTACATCATAAAAATGCGTGCATAACAGTCAATGCTGAAGCTCCCGTTTCCCACCAGTCAGTTAACTGACCTTAGCTAACCTAATATCATTGCGGCAACTCTCTATGCGGCAGGGGAACTATGCCATTAGCGCGCTAAGAGTTATTAGACCACTGACATATGCGCCAATTTGTAGGTGACGAGGCACTTGGTGACATTACAGCGAGCTTGACGATTTTTGCAGCATTTTTTTTTAGCAAACTACCAGTTAAGGTGTGTAGTGTTTACAAGATCTTGTTTCTAGCTCTAATGCTTTGTACAATTGAAAGTATTGAAAAAATTAATTCTCATGTTTTGCACAACCGAAACCATCAGAAAACATAAAATTGTACAAAAAAAAGTCATCCATTCTGGTAGACTATCTCTTAAATGCATAAAGAATAGCCATTGCTTAAGCTCCCGTTTCCCACCAGTCAGTTAACTGACCTTAGCTAACCTAATATCATTGTGGCAACTCTCTATGCGGCAGGGGAACTATGCCATTAGCGCGCTAAGAGTTGTTAGACCACTGACATAGACGCCTATTCGTGGGTGACGAGGCACTTGGTGACATTACAGCGAGCTTGGCGATTGTTATAGCATTTTTGAGTGAACTACCAGACAATCATGACAATGTGATCGCTGCGCCTCCAGATCTCCCTTCGACCCACTGTGCCAATTTGTCAATAATGCATGACACTTTGGACGGGGTTGCTGGCTTGTTTGGTCCACTGTTCGGATATACAAGTGGCAAGCCTTCCCCTTCACGGATCGCTCCAAAAATTGCTGCAAACGAACTGCAAATATATAATAAACAAAATTATTGTGCATGAAAAATATGACAATGGACAATGCTCGAGGAGCACTGGGAGTTTTCGAACGACGCGTGCTTAGGACCATCTTTGGCAGAGGGTATATGAAAATGGTGAATGGAGTAGAAAAATCAAGATAGAGCTGGAATTAGGGCGTAACAGCCTTTGTAAACAATGACTTCTCTTGTTGATTTCTCGGAATTCAAGACACGCCTACACAAACCAACATATCCATCGGGTAGTAGAAGTCTTTCTCTAATCGATGGTGATGTCGATTCGCCTTGGAGAGCCATGACTTCCGCGAAATCATCGAGAGAAGTCATTGATTACAAAAGCTGTTACGCCCTAGTTCCAGCTCTATTTAGGAATTAACCACGAACTGGCGTAACTTTATGGCGAACCCAATATCCAGAAAGTCGCTAAAAGTGGAAGATTGTACCAACAATCAATACGAAACTAACGATTTTAAATTGGCTCACCACTTTAGTAGCCTATTGGTCCCAAGCAAACGATTAACGTACCCTATTCTAGTTGAAATTCTATTACTACACTATGTTTGTTTTGATTCGCTATGAAAGTTTGACAGATAACATCAGGGGTGTGTGGATTCATGCAGAACATGCAGGGGTGAGTGAAATAGCTTGGGACTGCTTGGGACCGTTGTTCTGGTACTGAGTGAGCCAAAAATAATAATGATTTTCTTCGGGACCCAGTGGTCTTAGAGTTACCTCTATGATTGTACCCTTCCACGGGCGGGACACGTTGTAAGAATGCCGGACAACAATCCCGCAAAAATGATGTTTTCCTCAAATCCGGCCGGTACAAGACGCAGAAAAGCACAGCGTGCTATGTGGTTAGACCAAGTGGAGTAAGATGTAGGAAGTGTGGGACGCTCGAGAAATTGGAGACAAGCAACCAGGGACCGAGGGACGTCGGATCAGCAAAAGTAAAGTAAGTATACAGACAAACAGACATAAAACTCGCAAGATGTTCATCGAACAAGCATTTATCGGTCAATTTAAAAGTATCTTAGTTGGTAGTACCGCCACCTGTGGCGCGCATAGTCAATTCCCTTGCGTTTGACGTTTCCACACTACCGCCATCTGTTCAGCGTACTACCCACCACAGTGTACTCAACAGAGGGCGGTAATGTTTTAACCGCGATGTTTTACAGTGAGAAATATTCAATGTGTTATGTCTATTTGTCTGTGGTAAGTATCTTATACGTTGGCTAAATTGTTATCCAAACTGCCTAAAAGTTCGAAGAATAGTTATTAGATAGTACAGAATTCTAAATTGGCATTATTTATGAAAAATTTACATTAGAATTCTTAAATCTCAGTCTTTCCCTGATTGCGAACCACATTTTAAATTTTATATAAACGTCTGGCGTTTAGCGTAGTTTAGCACCAAACGGAATGTTATTATTACTGATGGCTTCCAAATT